GGCCAACAGCGAATGTAGAGAGCAAATCCAGTACAGAAGGCCAACAGCGAACAACTCATTGCAAGTTCCGAAATTATTTTTGAACTTTTTTGGTCCATGTCAATGAAAGATGTTGTAACTAGATTCTCGTGCTAGACTCTTCAACTGCAGAGATATTTGAGTAGCTTTCCATTATTGGTAGTGTTGTTTCTGGCCCCCCTCTTTGTCCTCACGATTTTGTTTCTGGGAACTCACGAACAACTTCCCAGTGAGTCACCTATCCTGGAATTGCTCTAGCCCCAAGTCACATATACGAGAATGATACGCGGTTTACAATAGGTTTATGTCCAGTTTTCTAAGATTGGTTAATCCAGCAACATCTTTCAAATTACAATACTCACTTGAAAGCATATGTAAGGTCTGTAAGTTGCCAAGAGTGTAGCTTCAGTTTACCTCTCGCTTTCTAATTGTTGTTCGCGTAGCAATGGAAAGATTCTCCATCTCAAAGATTCTGAAATGCACATAAATATTCAACTCTTACTTGATTGACTTCAAAAAGAACATCTAAAACTAATGGTGATGTATTTTAATATGCCATGAAATATTATTATAAGATGGCCACGGAACCATCGTAAACTTGAATTTGGAATGCGATAGAATTATCATATTGTGCTCTTGGTGTCGGTGTCAGTGTCGGTGCTTCATTTTATAAGTAATAAAATAAGGAAATTTAACATGTTGGCTTTTAGATTAAGCTTCTTACTCACAACTCACAAGCACAAGCAAAAACCAATCAAACATAGCTAAACAGGGGACCCCATATTTCGCTTAAAAATGCACATTTTAAAACATAAAAAATAAAAAGAAAGAAATTACCTTGCCATCATTGCATCGTACTCGTCGTACTCGTCGTATGGTTCTCCAATTACAAGGGAAGGTACGTGTTGAATTTTATAGAAATCCTCTCCATCTTCCTGAATCCGATGGTGGAGTTCTCTAGGCATCCCTGTAATGGTTAATTTCCTGAGATTAGTAAGATAACTCAGCCCATCTGAAAGCGCCGTCAATCCCCTGCAATATGAAATCCTCAATCGGCA